AACATAAACTGTACCGAAAATAAATACCTCACGATGTCTATCTAATTATGAACTTGCTTTACTTTCATGGAACACATTTTTGGTGATAACAAATGTAACAAAGTAACATATTTACCAACACATGTTCTACGCCACTACATACTTACATTTAAATGTGTCGGTTCAGCCATTCTCCGCAAGGGTTTTTGAAATTGGTCCGTGCGCAAAGCATTGTGGGGATTTTAAGGACGCGAAGTCTGCCCATGTGCAGCTTCGAAATTTCCCCCAAACCAAGGACGCGGCCTCGGTGGAATTCCAAGTATGCTGGAGATTGGAACAGTCCTTCGGCGGCACTCGATGAAGTAGCATCCTTGAAATATTGGCTTGGAAGCCAGTATCCTCGAGATTGAGAAACGGCCACGGCGCACCGCACACGCGAGTAACCGTGCATCGCTTTCTGGCTCCGTAATCACACCAATGCACGTGCAACTTAAGTATCAGGTTCCGACTGGTCACAACAATAATTAAATATCACTCTTAATACAACGAATAATTAACATTTATCTATTTTGGGGCTCACATTTTGCTGTTTACTGTCCTTATTTATTTATGTTAAAAACGGGTTGCCACTGATGGCAACCAAAGGCCAAGAAGTGGTTGACATTTTTTCTGAATGGTCGCCAATGGCAACCTGGCAACCGTTACTGTCGAGCCCTGCAAAGGGAAACGGATTCAAAACAATTACTGGACACAATGAACTAAAGAGCATAGTGATTTCCTTCCTGAAACTGGCAAATTACTAAAGCATCTTTTCATTTTAACGTCTTTGTTTACCTGCATGTCTTAAAAATAGATATTCATGAATGTTCGTGTGGCTATTCTTGTCAAATTTGTATGTGGAGATCCATTATATTACAGCATTTGTATTCTTTCAGCCATCTTCACATACTTTTAAGATGGTGATCCATTCCTTTAATGTATTGAGCTGGATTTTTCAGGAGAAGTAGTAGGTACATAAATAAAATCTTGATCAAGTGACATTTGACCTACTCTACAACCAATAGGAAAATATGTGCATGCTTTCTGTAGATAAACAAATGACCAAGGAGAATTTTGTCGGACGAGGATATTGACTTTGCCATAATTACTAAAAAGGGGACTATATGTCGATGTTATGTTTACAATTAGTTACCTCTGCCTTAAAGTTAATAATACATTTAATTTATATAGCGCTTTCCTAAGAGCCGCTTTCACACCAAGTACTTTGCCGTACTTCGTTCCCAGCACTTAGTTCCCAGCATTTAGTACTCCGATGGAACTAAGAGCCGATCGCGTTCACACCGGAATAAGTTCCCTGAGGGCAGATACGCAAATGAAGCCGCTGACGTCACTTCTTCTACTTCTGCTTTGAGTTTACTGGCAGGCCGCAAACAACTTCACGGCGTATACTGCCACCCAACGTCCCCGGCCGGAAGTCCCCGGAGTTGGGGACTGGCTTCAGTAGACTACCGAGTAAATCGCCAGAACGCCGACACCCCCTCATCACTCCACCGCTCCCATGTTTTTTTTTGTGTTGCCATAAGTTAGTCTCTCTCCGTTGGTGCGTGGGGCTAATGCTAATGCCAGCAAATACAATGGCGGCTTGAAAACACTTTTCCGATTTTTACGGGGCGTGGTTTGCAATTGGCCCAGCCAATCAGAAATTGGAACTTTGTTCTCCCCAGGATAGTACCACCTCTCTAGCAGGGACTGAAAAGGGGGGAAAAGTTCTCATGAACCAAGTTCTCTTTTTGGTGTGAACGCAAAATCCCAGGAACTATCAGAACTAAACGGGAAAAGTACTCTGGTGTGAAAGCGCCTAAGTACTCAAAGTGGCTTTACAAGAATACAATTCACACAACAAACAAAGATGAAATGAAGTCAATTAGAAGCATTACAAAGAAAAAATACAGAACGGAAAGCATCATGAAATGTCCGAGTAATGAAGTTGAAGTTGAAAAAAATGTTGGTTATTGCAGTTTTAATGACTTTTTTGTTTGTGTGTTTGTTTTAGAGCCCAAATAAAACGCCAACTAAGTCACGTGGTAAACATGGGAGGGCCACACATGGGACCACAACACCAAGAACTCCAAGGACCCCTCGTACCCCAGGATCCCCCAAAACCCCGCCTCGGTTCAGGATGCGTGTTTCCCCCGCTGCTCAGAGCCCAGTAGCAGGAAGCTCTCGTGAAGTAGGTATGGCTCTGAGAGGAAGTCCTTTCAGATCTCCAGCCAAACGCGCTCTAGTGGTCGAGACACCGACTAAGGAGAGCCCTCTGAGGAGCCCGCTGAAGGGGATTCTCAGGACTCCGATCAAGGTCTTGGTTGAATCCTCTTCCGGGTTACATATTCTCAATAGCCCAATTACCCAGACTCCCAAGAAGAGCGTCACATGGTCTCCATCTCCTCGAAAATGTAGAGTGGCAGAGAGCAGCGGTACTTTCAAGGTGCCAGAGTCACCGAGCGTTGCACCTCGCTCTTCTCCTACACTGAGAAACAAACTGTTCTGCAGTCCTGTCAAAAGCACAAACACTAAAAGAGACATTTTCAAGACTCCAGAAAAGACTTGTCAAGTGAAACTGATGAGGATTTCTGAAACTCCGGATAAAGTTCTTCTGACACAGGATACAAATCCAAAGTCCTCTGAAAAACTTGACGGGATGAAAACACCTGAGAAAGTCAGTCTACTGGAAATGCCTAACCCTCCACAATCCACACCACCACAAAACCACAACCTGTCACCTAAACCCAACACTAGAACTAATTCGAAGACTCTTAGTCCTAATCGCATGGTGACTCGTTCTGGACGAACTCCAGCCAAACATGTAAACATTTCATCTCCATGTAAGCCAGTGTTTGCGCCAGCAGAACGTTCTACCATTTCAGAAGGACCAGATAAATCAAGAAAGACTCCAGTAAAGTCCTTAAGAAGAACAAGGTCTGGTCAAGGTGCTGGAACCCCCAGACGCATCTTAAGATCCCAGTCTAGTGAGGATCTTCCCTCGAAACTAAACACAGAACCTGCTGAGCACTGTGAGCTTGTGGTGAAGAACATTCAGTCCGATGCAAAAGACGAGGTACAAGCAGAACCTTCACAAACCTCTGAAACGGACTCTAGTCCCCACAGAGATTCCCACCAGCTTGACTCTTCACGTTTTAACTCCACAGACGATGAAAGTATGGACATTGTCGATGCTGCGGTTGTCAATACTCAGTTCAGTGGAGGTATCAAGATGAACATCAGCTTTTCACGAAAGTCCTCAACGTCCGGGGAAGCCTTTTTGTCGAACATGTCGTCTCCTAAATCACGTCCGGCACTCCCGGGAACACCTAGCCGGAGCTACGGTTTCCGACAGACCCCCGACCGCCAACAGAGGGAAGCTGCAGCTCGTCTGGGTTACGGAAATGAATCCCCTCGATTTTCAACCCCAAGAGGTTTAGCTAAACGTAGTCGTCAAAAGAGCATGGGTACTCCCAACCCTATGACTTACCAGGTAGAAATGGAAATGCAAACATCGGGAGTTCCTAAGCTCAAAATCAAACGCACAGATTCCATGAACGCGGGCGATTCGGCCTCAGATGGCGACCCTCGATCGGGAGCTTGGAGCCCCTTAGTTGGTGTGAAACCTTCTCAGCTGGAAAGCCCCTTGGCTCTGTTCTCTAAGCACAGAGATCCGGGATGTGTCTCACCGTCTCTCTGTACTCACGTCACCCCGGCAAAAAGCACGCCTGGAAAAGGTGGGAGCGTCCAAACGTTCATTTGTCAGTCCTACACCCCGACACACTATCCTGGGGGAACAATGTCTCCCATGATAGCAGACATAATTCCCCTCACTCCTTCACCACAGAGCGGAGGTAAAGCCACCCCAGACAACCTGAACAGCTGGCCCCGCAGGAAGAGAGCTCAGATTGGGCTGGGTGGAGGCAAGGATCGGGGCCTGAAGATGGAGCCTATGCTGGGGGAGTTGTTAGAGCAAGCTGAGCTCGGAGTTAGCAGACTGCAGGACTTCGAGGACACGGAGGAGCCGTCAAACAATAAAGCAGCAGGATCAGCTTTGACCTCCAAACGGTCTCTCCCAGCTGGAGCAGATGCTTCTCCTCTGTCTCCACTGGAGGACTTGTACTGGTTTGAGCAGCTGGGTGGAGCTGATCCTCAGGGAGAAGAAGATGATGATGATGAAGAAGACATCCTCTGGGCCACCGGGACTGGAGACGTCAAGTCAGGTAAAGCTACTGTTCAAACATTACAGCTCAAATGTTTGTTGAGTATAAAATAGGTGCGCTGGGTCAACCCATTTTCCATTTGTGCTATTCTTATTCTTTATTAGGATCCCCATTAGCACTAGCATGAAAATTGGCTATTCTTCCTGGGGTCCTTAGACACACAAAACATACATAAAACAAAACAGCTCATAATTTCATGCAATTTTCAGCGCTATATGAAGTGAAAACTAAAATGGTCATCCAATTTTAGCCATATTAAGTAAAAGAAAACGGTTCAAGTGAGAATGAATAAGCAATACTCTGGTTTTTGGTATTGCTTGCCGCTTTCAGAAAGTTGTTGTTTTATTCTCACTCCAATTCTTTCACTTTGACTCAAAACAGCTTCTATATTCTGACCACGTATTAAATATGCACTGATACGAGAGGAAAGCAAGATATATATTTAAAGCTTTGACAAGTATATAGGATATAGTTCTGCTTGATACATGTCTGAAATCAAATATAATGTTATAGTAAATGTGTTTTAATGAACTTGAAGTAAATTAAAGCCAGTTAAAGCCACCCTTAAAAAATGTATATGGTAAAATAATAAAACCGTTATTATACCAATTCTGTTTTCCACACCTTGACAGTAGCGACGCCCCCCGGCTCCACGGCGAGGAAGCCGGTGACAGCGAGTGGGATTTTGGCGCTCACTCAATCCCCGCTGTTGTTCAAGGGAAAAGCCGGCTCTGCTAGCAAGAGAACACCCAACTTTAAAGGTAAGATCTTAGTGCTGTGAGCCACATGGTAACAAACATACTCTCACAGGCAGGTTTGAAACATCCCACATTTGTTCACTCAACATTTTTAAATTGTATTTTATTTAGAAAACAAACACATTGTTGTTAATGATTTATGATTATGCAATAAATCATTCAAATATAAGTTAAATCCATAAATGTTATTATAATAAACGAGATCTACTTGACTGCATACTAGGGCTGCTCGATTATGGCAAAAATCATAATCACGATTTTTTTGGTCAATAATTGATATCACGATTATTATATACGATTATTCATTTACTTTGAAAACATCCATTTATTGAACTTTAAAATAAATACAAATAACAATTTGAACAGTATATTTTTAACTGTTGATTACCCTGAACGTAAAATTCAACTGAAAAACCAATACTAAAATAAATTATACTTTTATATTTACATTTAAATAAATAATATCAAAAATAATAAATACCAATAAACAAGATCAACAAATATTTCGGAGCGCACTTCCACAGGCTACTAAACAAATTTAAATATGATAAATAAAAATGAGACTAAAATAAATGATATCAAATATGTTGCAAAGCTAAATAATCTTTTTTTTCGATTATGTTTTCGTAATTGTGGCAGGCCAAAATCGTAATTGGGATTAAAATATGACTAATTGCACAGCCCTACTGCATACTGTATTCAATAACAATCAGTTGTGAAACTATTTTAATCCGTCAACATTTTCCCACTCAACGAATGAGAATAAAATTACCTTAAAACTTTACTGACATATGATCAGTAAAAGTAATCTTTCACTTTTGCTCATTAGAATTATTTCTTATATTCTTTAGGATGTGCTCAACTATCGCATATAGAGCTGCAGTTCATATATAAGTTGACCAGCAGAGAATTAATAAACTCTTTTCATAATAAAGTCATTGTTTCAGTAATGTTTTTAAGCAAAATGACCCAAAAACATATGGTTGTGGCCTTATTTACACCAAATAATGTTATTTGTAGTTGTCCAGGTAAGCCTATAGTTCATTGCGCTATCATTTGAATGGCCTTTCAGACAAAATGAGCAGACAACCGGATAAATCATTTCAGCTTCCCTTCCAGGGTGTCCGCGGGGTCTTAAAAAGTATTAAAAGTTGATAAATCAATTCAGCGAAAATGAAGGCTATTAAACGGCATTTTCCAAGGTATTACATTTTATAGCTTGTTTTCTATAAGTATATCAATTGTCCAAAGAGGTTGTATTCTACAGTCTGCCTGAATGTAATCATTGCGTAGGTGTGTAGTGTGATTCTGTGTAGTTTATTTATGGCATCCCTGACTTCAGGATTCCTGCATATACCCTGTTACACTACATACCTAACACTCCTCATGTTTTCCTTATCTCTGTAGATGAAGCAGCAACAGGGAGGAGGATAGAGGTGGAGGGAGTGGAGGTCTCTCCCTTCAGCCAGCCAATCAGACGGGCTGACACAGGACGGTCCTACAGCAGGAAGAGGCTGCTGCACTGAACCACAAACATTGTCCGTTGTGTTTCACTGTGAGCCTTCCTCTCACACGCTTTGTCTGAGAGAGCTTTTGATGGCAGATCTGAAGGATGTCTTTCAGGCGCCACTTGAAAGGCTGGAGCATGAATGTCTCTCTCAGTCTCCACTAGCACTTCTTCTTTCTGTCCTAAACAACTGTTTCTGTTTCAATCAGGAGATTTTATTATGATAGGTACGTTTAGCTGTGAGTTGAAAAGCTAAGCAGTTCTTCCAAGATGTTTAAAATTGTTCCTATTAATGATTTTATCAAAGTGTGTTAGCCACCCAAGTCTCCCTGAAGCTAAAATGGTGATATTATGTCATCAGTGTTTTGAAATAAGCAATTTTACAATCAAGTCTAAATGTGTTTCTGTGAATATTCATGTTTATTTATTAGTCTGTTTTTCTGTCATAAACTTACTTTTTATGTGAAAGGGAAGGGCCTAATGATTGATTCATATTGTAAATACCTTATGTTCCAAATACTTTATGTAAATAAAAATCTGTTTTCTTAATTAAGGGAGGAAAATGCTTCTTTTTTTTGTATTCATACCATCACTGCTAGATGTTTGTACAGAGTTTCTTCTAAGCAGATCTGGGAGTAGAAAATGTCCCTCGCTCATGCATACAGAACAGCTTGAGCTGTGAAGTTGCAAACGCTGCCCTGACTCAACAGCAGCTTTAAAGTCCTGCCACGTACTGTAGGATTATATTAGGGTAGGAACTCTCGACTTCTCTACAACATTAACGTTGTTGTTTGGTACTTTCAGGACGTTCCCCCCTCAATATGAAGCAATGCACATGAGGAAAGTCACAGCTATGACTTCTTACCATTTCCTTACGGTAGAGCTTACTGAAGCTCAGCACAAGTTCTTTCAGGAAGACTGGGTTTATATATACATTCACTCCGCAGCTGCTTATAATCAGCTCATCACGGGCGTTGTCTTTAACCTATTACATTTCACCTCAATCTCCAGCAGCCAATCACCGTGCTGCAGCCAAACTTTAAAATGGTTCTCCTCTCTCCTGCAGTCAGCTGTGATTCCAGGTGTTCATGCTGCCGCCCACCTCCTCTCCACCCACCTCCTTTCATCACATCCAGAGCCAGGAGAGCTAATCCAAAGACCTCATCACACCTCCTCTTCATCCCATCTCCTCATCAAATCCAGATCTTCAGCATCATCACCAGTGTCTAGACCCCGGGGGGTTCCCTATATGCTCACGGCTACATTTCCCCCTTTAGATATACGATTTCAGGATCGGGGTCTAATCGCCAAAGATTTAACATTTATCATTTGACGTGTGTCAATAAATGTTCTTTAAACAAAATGAAGTTTCTCCTGATTTAACTGATTTTGAGGGATTTTCAATTGATCAGCTTCCAGATACAGTTGTATTTAACCTTTAATCACTTATCACACCCTTATAACGCACTGTTATTCTTCATTTCAGTTATTATGCAGCAATTTTCTTCAAAAATATGATTATTTTATGAATAAAGTACTAAGGGATAAAAAAAATGTTTGACTTTTTCTGAATAAATGTGATGTAATACTCGTGTTAACCGTTTTAACAAAAGCCTCTAGATAGTTCTGCTGTGTGTCAGTGTTGTAAAACAATAAAGCCAGTCCATGTGAGGTGAATCCGATTATAGGCACTGTAAATCCTCCACTGCACGTTATTTCCAAGGAACTCATTGTTACATATTTGTATTTTATCATGTAGGCGGTTGAAGTCCAGTGAAGTACTTCTACATCATTTTGTCAAATACATCCTGATATGTTATGAACTTTGAACTGAGTATTGTATGCCCATATAATCCACAGATTACTGAATATAAGGAGCTCAGGTGCTGAATATGAAACGGTCTGCAAACTACAGACCGAAGTGAAAAGGTCTGTAAAAAAGGTGAAGACTGACAACGACTAAAAGTTGTTTTTACAATTTAAAGGCACATTAAATATTTATATCACCATGTATATAGAATATATATGTATTGTGCTGATCCACATTTGTATTTATTTATGCTACAGCAGAAGATTATGAAGTCCTACAAAGCAATACAATTAAAAGTAAATGTAATCATAGCAAAAGTACAAAGAAACATATATAGAGATTTTAGAGTACACAATTTAATGGGAAAAGTGAGAATAGATATACCAAAAAAAGATACTATCTACATTTGACGAGTGTGAGTAATTTTTTAATTAAAAGTTTAGGTGTAAGTATGAGTTTTCGAAAAAGCAAAAGACAGTGAAGTCTGGTGTATTTACAAAAGAGTATGCATTAACACCATGCCTCAAACAGGTCACATATTAGTCCGAACAGGTCACTGTCTAGATCTATTTGTTCTTTTTAATCATCATTTTTTATACTTTAAAGAATCATATCAGGAAAAATGTGAGATTGGGGAAGTGCCAAATATTTTCTGCTTGTTGTTGATTGGAGGTCATAGATAGTTAACCTACGCTGTGTTACTTAAAGTGATAAGCAAAGAAAACTGAGTGCTTCGGATTTTCCATTGAGTAAAGCCAAATCTATGGAGCTAATTTCCTGCTTCACTCCACAAAAAAATATAATGCTGCATGATTCACTACAGTGTAGTTTGCAAATACAAAGCACCATCTACAAACTAATGCATTTAGCTTTGCAGATAAAAAACGTGTCTATCAAACAAACACATTAAATGTTTCTAATAAATCATGTTTCAGAGACAAATTCAGCAAGTACACAAAAATATTTTCTACGATTAGGCCTACTGTGTTTGTAAGTGAATCATAAGGCATTTGTAAAACGTGTTTAGTTTGTTTGTGGAGTTATGGCAGGAAATTAGCTCCATACAAATCAGCCATGACTCGCAGTTGTTTTAATGATGACTGGATTGACCTTGTGAAGCTGAGAAAGATTCATTATTCCTGTGAAAGGGAAAAATGGAGGGACTGCATTGTGTGTTTTTGGCCTGTGGGTAACACCTCAGTGGGATATAAAACCTCCTCAGTGCAGGACCCCTGTTCACTTCATGTCCTTTAGTATTCACACCACGCACTTCTCCACCACTGTCAAGACGGCCAACTTACGATACGTGACTTCCTGTGCAAAGCAATTTTCAAAATAAAACCCTTATCACCCTTTTGAGTGAGCATGCAAGTTAAAAAGCATAATAGCTAAAGGAAATGCTATGAGATGCCATTTGAAACATTGATTTTTGTTATTTAGGAATAGATTTATCCATGCACGGAAATCTATATTATTCATTTCTAGCATTGTCCTATTTGTAAAAAGACTGACTGCCATCTCTGTCATTTTTGTAAATGTAATTTGACATCAGTTTGCTTTCTCATCTATCAATTCTTTAAAATAAGGTTATCCTTACTCCTTGTGAAGGACCAGGGTACACACAAACTGGGAGAACAGGTTGACAGAAATAGGGATTTTATTTACCCCAAAAATATACAGTTCTTTGAGGATATGTAATACAATCAACACAATACGAAAAAACATCATTATACAACATAAACTCTCTGAAGCCTAAGTACAACTGAACTTACAAATAACTTCAATAATGTTGAGGGCCCTCCTCTGTCTGAGACACACTGACTTCCTTCCTTCCCAAACTGCAGGTCTTTATAACCTGCTGGCCAGTCTTGCAGGGGGACAAAGACATTGTTCTCTAAGTCGCTTTGATGGAGAAGCACCCCGAACACCCCTTGGGTTTTAAGTGAATGGCACAGTCCAACCACGAAGACACATCCATAGGCAGGGGTGATTCAACAGCTCTGCTTTTTGCTAGGAGAAGGATGAGCTGCTGAACACTGACAAAAGTTGGAGTGACACTTAACAATTAACAATGTCTATATCCGACAACATTGTGTGTACTCATTCTGGTCAAATAAAGTTGGTTAGAAGAAGTGTCTGGTTGTATGTAAGATGTTAGTCAGATTTAAGAAATTTTAAGAGGTGTTGTTGGTTTTGAGGCCTGCAGTTACAGTCTTCATACTCATGCATTCAAACATCAGTGGTGTAAAGTAAGTATTACTTAAGAACTGAACTTAAGAACACTTTACAGGTACTTGTACTTAACTTGAGTAATCAAATGTGTTGACACTACTGGGTGTACTTTTACTCCACTAAATGTATGTAATACCTTTAGTTACTTTGCAGATCTGAATTAATGATGGTAAATATAACCAAGTGTTAAATCAGACTTTAGTTCCATCTGGAGTAAATTCACAAGCTACCCTGCAGTATACAAAGTCATTCAAACTAGCTGCACCTTTACCAGCTTCAATAAACTATTTGATGTTCAATAATTATAAAACATGTCATATATATTATTCTGAAATGGGCCAATCTGCACAATGAGTACTTTCAATTTTGGGAGTTTAAGTATATTTTGATGCTGATACTTTGGTACTTGAGAAGCATGTTGAATGCAGTACTTCAACACACAGTATTCCCACACAGTAGTACTTCTATTTTTACTTAAGTACACAATCTGAGTACTTCTCCCACTTCTTGAAGACATTATCTTAATCATGCACCGTGCAGTAAATAATGGAAATGCACCATTCAAGTAAAGTACCTCTATTACCTACCATATTCTGTTTCTATTATATTCTATTTTATTTTATTTACTTTAGGAGCCTCAGCCTGTGACTTAAGATTTTAATTGTGATTACTAAACTGTAGCTATGCACACATGACAATAAAAGCCTTGAAACTTGAAACTTGAAACATTTGTCTTTTGTTTTGAAGGATGTGTTTCCGGTATGTGTTTCTCCGTCCATCTTGACGCCTCTTCGGTTACTCCGGTTACTCCGGTTCCTCGGGCTGTCATTCCATCAGAGGCTCTTCATCACCTGTCCCACCCTCATCGTGGGAATAATACGCTTTATTAAACATCAAAACAGAGACAAAAATACAAAAATGGCGAGCAGCTTCTCCAGGATCCTGACCACCCGCCAGAAGATCGGTCTCCTTTCCGCGGTGGGGGGCTCAGTGACGGCTGGGTTTCTGCTGCACCGGGAGCATGTCGGGGCTGGAGCTCCGGTCCGCAGGAGTTACCCAGCAAGGTAACGTTTTTATTCACATTTTATGTCATTTTGATCATTAATGAAGAAGTCCTGATTATTATGCATGTTGTGTAATTTACCTTAATTAAAGAAAATGGTGAAAAAGGCTGGGAGGACATGAAAGTAATGTTAACAGCCTGAAAGAACATGACATTAATAGTAAAACCTACAGTTATCACTTAATTGTTTTAAAGTCATTGCCATTGCCATTTTTTCCTATACTTTATACGGTGTCTTTAGGTGTTATGACAGGCGTCTCATAAAATGTATTATTATGATTATTATAATTATTATTACGTTCTTATCTCACGGTAGGAATATATGAATTATGACTCAGATGCACCTATCGGTCACCTTAAAATTAAATGAAACGACATCGATAGCTGTTAAGGCTGTTGTCCAGTAGGGTAGGCTACAATAGGGATTTTTTTGGGGGGGACCAAATGTGGAATATCACGTAAAAATCCTTCTTAATTGCCATCAAAAATAGGGCAAAAGACGGATGCATAGCCCTCCTGTTATAATGATGTATTAAATCCGGATTAACTCAGATACATATGACTCATAACTTGTGCTATAGCTGTATAGATGGCATACTGATGGGATGGCTGATGCGTACGTGTCTCACTACATGTCGCATTATAAAGCATTGCATATAAAAAGGTAAATAAAATGTTATCTGCTGCTCAGATAAAGAACCCTGCCAACAATGTTGCATAACGGTCACACACTGAAAGAGCACCTGCAGTGTTAGAGGGTGTGTCTACTGTTTGTCTGACTCTAATGTATAGATGTTTATTTTGTATTTATTACATTTTCAACTAATGTGCAATGTCTCGTTAACATGCTGCCCCAATTTGGGATAAATAAAGTATTTCAACATTTCCTTAAAGTACTCGTTAGCTCCATTTAAAGTCGCATTATTGGATTATCCTTATTTCTTATGGTCAAAGAAGCACGTGAAGGTTCTCAAGATGGAGATGACCTTTATCAGAATGGTCAGTTTCATCTATAAGAAGAATGCATATATATGTTGGATGAACGTAGTGGATTGAAAGTATAATATTTTCCTCTGAAATTTGGTAAAGATGAAGTATAGCATGAAATGGTATTACTCAAATACAGTAAGTACCCCAAATGTGTGCGTATGTACAGTACAAATGTACTTCGGTACCTTTTCACCACTGACTAAAGGCGTTGACATTGGTTTGGAGATTAGTCTTTAGGCGCCAACCTTTTGTCTGAGTGACCCAACAGTCAGGAACTAATGCCTTTTTCTTATCAAGCCTTATTGACACAATTACCAGGCATCATAATTATAATCTAACTTCATACCCTGAGTCCTGCCAGCCGAATACGCCCAATTCCACGTTACTATTAATCATTAAACGTAGAGTCGTGCTAGGGTAAAGATACGGTTGATGGAAAAATACAATTTCTGCCTATGCTGATGAATCATTTTGTTATACTAACTACACTAACATCAAATATGTATATGGTTTATTCATATAGCAGGTTTATTTATGATTGATAGCTGTTAAGATAATCATTTTTTCTCATCGCCTAAATTCAGTGTTGAACAGTGTTCCTAAATATATCACTATCGACCCTAACAAGGGCAGATTGATAGCGTTATGAAATCATGCACGAACAAAAGTACACCAATGCATAACCTGTGCATATTAGTGGACAAATTACCATTTTTTTGGATCATTTCAATCTACATATCTTAGCCTTGCTTATCTGTTGGCAGACAACAGGAAACAGGAACCCATAAGCTACTTAGTCTGTGCTGCTTTGGCAACTTTAGACTTTGTCATGCCAAACCCAATTGAATTCCATCCCTCGCCTTAAGAAGGTTTTTTTGTTGTGTTTGGATAAAAGCCAGTGTTTGACAGCAAGGCTTTTTGTTTCCACTCTACCCTGCCTAAAAACTAAATAATACATTTAAAGACAGCACCGAATATGTCTGTGTTTTCATCAGCGGGATTAATTTACTCTAACATCAAACATGTAAAGACTGTCTTCTCTATCAGGACTGATGAAGGACATTTTTAACATCTCATGTGAAACATTGCACAGTGTCTTTTCTGCCTGTCAAATGTAATACTTGAGACGTTCAGGTGTCTTCTTCAACATACATTTAGATTTTATTATAACTCAATTTGTTTTTGTAAATATGCAATATATATTACTAAATGATAAAAGCCTGGTAAAAAATACAAGGAAATGTAATTCCGCAAGTTCCTTAAATGTGTGCATTCAAAACACTTTACATTAATATGAATGAATGTGTGTGTATTATTGGGTTTGGGTGAAAAACATTCCTGAGCCTCTCCTTGTGTGTCTGATACCATCCTGACCTCAGCAGAGAGAAAAAGCTGTAATCTGCATCTTCAATGATTCTTCCAGCATTGCTCTTGCATCACCTTGTATACTAATCCTGTATGCCGGGTAGAGTGTATTGTATTTCAGCCAAAACATACCCTACACTGTTATCAGCACCTAAAATAAAATGAGTAGACACATTTTGCAGCAGGGTGTCCCATAGCCATAAGGAAACAGTTAGCTGTGTACGTGCCATGTGGAAGTGTCCTTGAATGACTCACTCACTATGCACCTGCTCCAAGGACACAGCCCTGTGCCCACACTGCTAACAAGTCTTTTTTTCCCTCCCTCCCTTAACGATCAATGCAGCCATATGTTATCTTGAAATGTGTATTTGTGCAGTGCGGAGTACCCTGACCTGCGCAAACACAACAACTGCATGGCCTCTCACCTGACTCCGTCCATCTATGCCAAGCTGGTTGACAAGGCGACTCCCAACGGATACACTCTGGACCTGGCCATCCAGACGGGAGTGGATAACCCCGGGCATCCCTTCATCAAGACTGTGGGCATGGTGGCAGGAGACGAGGAGTCCTACGAGGTCAGATATCATAGTTTCCAAACACACACATATACGCTCCTTACCTTTCACTAGAAAGGGTTTGCACATGTCCAAGAGTCATCCTCAGGAACACTAGTAGGAGTTTGCAGTGACAAAGACAACACTGACAGTCTGAAGAGCAAACAATAACATTTATTTTTATTTTTATAGAGGATAGACTGATTTGAAATGGGAAAAGAGAGGGGATGATATGCAGAAAAGTCCATAGGCCAAAGTTGAGCCCCAGGACAGCAACGCCAGCTATACAAGTCCACCAACATACAGTAGGCATCTACTGCTGTCAACAGGGAAAGCAGCAAAAAGTGTTTTAACAACCTTTAACAACTAAGAGGCCAAAAAAAATCAATACTATTTGAAGTGTAAGCCACATTTAGAATATTTGTTCCACTTTAGGACAAGACGGCAGTCAGATTGTAATTCGACCTTGCAGAACACGTTAGTTGTTGCTTTGATCGGTTAGTTAGTTAGTTGTGTTAATGTGTGATGGTAAATCTGATCTAACCCTTAAAGTTACCAAACGTTATCGCATAAAAAATGTTAATTTCTTGGGTCTGTTTCAGGTTTTTGCAGAACTGCTGGACCCTATCATCAAAGAGAGGCACAACGGCTACAACCCAAACACCATGAAGCACCCCACCGACCTGGACTCCAGCAAGGTATCATCTCACTGTCAACACAGGACTCCTTATTGTCAGAAAACTAAAATCAGTTCTATTTGATGTTTCTCATTGTAATGAGGCCACACCTCAGGCCATTATGATTATAATGTATTATTCTTATTCATTTTCTCTCTGTGCTTTTATTTAAGTAATTGGCATGTAAGCTGAGATATAAATAGATATCTTGCTACATGATTAAGGTGAGATTATTGTCCCCCATGGAGAGATGTAGGTTATATGTGCAGTAACTATTCTGCACACATTTGTGTACGTACTGTGTACGGGTGTATGTTGCATGTATATATGTTATGTCTGAACGTTTACAAAAATGACAATAACTTCCTGCCCTTGTTTCAGATCCACTCGGGCAACTTTGACCCACGCTACGTGCTGTCGTCCAGGGTGAGAACGGGCCGCAGTATCCGCGGGCTGAGCCTCCCCCCCGCCTGCACCCGGGCGGAGCGACGGGAGGTGGAGCGCGTGGTGGTGGACGCGCTCGCCGGCCTGAAGGACGACCTCGCCGGGAAGTACTACAGTCTGACATTGATGACCGACGCAGAGCAGCAGCAGCTCATCGACGTGAGTAATGTAGTTGCTATGGACAACCTTGCACTTATGTACATTCCCAAAGATATTGAAGTGACTGTTATTTTGTATATATTGATTGTTGTGTTTTTATCTGTGCATATGTATAAATGTGTCTGTTGATTTGTATGTATAGGATATACATATTTTTATACATATTTGTATTTGGGATTGTGGGAAACGGTATTTCGATCTCTCTGTCTGTACACACAAACTGAAAGATTGACAATAACTTTGACTTTGACTAAAGCAAGGAGGATGCTCAGTGCTTACTATGAACATGTTGCACATTATCGAGGTACCACCTTTTTACTTGCAGTGCTATTGCAACACTTAAACTCCTGCTCGTCACAATAATTGTTTGTATAGGTATAAAGAAAGGTGAGCAGTGTTTTAGTAAACAACCTTTTGACAAAATATTTGTACAGAAAGCGATAGCCTTCAAGTACAAGTGTAATGTTATTCATAACTAAAAGTCAAGTGAGATATAACACTAGAACAGTTTACTGTATCATATCACCAAACTCTCTTGAGAAAAATCTTGTAAATGTACATCTCGTTATCTGTAGTTTTAAAATGGTAGAAGTAGTGGATCTACATGATCTGTCAGAGAGTCATGCTAGGACACTTTCAGATATGTACCACGGTCTGACACAGATGACAGACGCAGAGCAGCAACAGCTCATCGATGTGAGTAAAGCAGGGAGGCTGCTGTGTCAAAGTCAACTTAATTGTCAACCTTTCAGTTTGTGTGTACAGACAGAGAGATCGAAATACCGTTTCCCACAATCCCAAATACAAATATATATTAAAATATGTATCAAATATGTATATCCTATATATACACAATAAACAGACACATTCATACATATGCACACATTAAGATAAAAACACAACAATCAATATATACACAATAACAGTCACTTCAATATCTTTGGGAATGCACATTAGTGCAAGATGTCCATAGCAGCGTAAAAGTGTCTGAGTGTGTGTGGGGAGTTATAGTCCAGTGGGGGCAGGGGGGACTGTGTGTGTGTCCATGATGATGTTGTGCATTATGCTTAATGTCTGTTTCCTTGTATCTTGTCTTGAATATTTGTCCTTGTTGATGTTGCAAATGGAGCTGCTGTGATGCAAGACAAATGTCAGATTTGAACTGACAATACATGTATTATTGGATCGATGTATTGCATGGGGGTACCACTTGAGACTTGCAGTGCTAATGCAAATTTAAACTTGAGGGGAAAAAGGAAAGGTTTGCAGTATTTTAGTGAAAACCCATTTGACACCTTTTAGATTTAACGATAATACATTGACTGCAGTTTTAATAACAGAACAACATTGGTTATTTTTCTTATTAAACAAACTAAAAAAATGATCATGTTATTGAGTAACCAAGTTTCACACCTTGTTTCTGTCTTCATGTGATAAAACGATCCAAGTTAGCCATTGATGATGCCATTCACTTTAATATTAAAACGTGTGTTATCTGTATTTACAATAGGACCACTTCCTGTTTGACAAGCCCGTGTCTCCCCTCCTGACCTGCTCAGGCATGGCTCGTGATTGGCCAGATGCACGTGGTATCTGGTGAGTAATACCTGATTATAAATGTTCTGATTGAGAAAACCTTATTCTTCTGAAACTTCAAGACAAGGCAGGTTATTATTAGCAAATATTAATTATTTCATATACGTACACTTGCTACCAAAGCAATTGATCATGCGTGAACTGAAATGGGTGTATGAACCATTTTTCCAGAACTTATTTGAGGTGTGAATACGGTGAGTTTGGATCTGAAGTTAACAGCTCATGGTCATTTTGTTTTAAAGGGACCCAGGATAGACCCTTGTGGAACTCCTCAGAAAACTTTCTTTCATTCTTTAAATGAAAATATAGGAGCTCCTATCCAAGAAGTTCAAATTAAGTTACAGATCACAAATGGATGCTATTCTATATTGTTTTGTGTGTGGTTTATTGTGGCAAAATGTGTTTCTGGAGACACCGTCTGTGGCAGTTATATGTATAGATAGCATTCTCAATTCCTACACCATTTTCTCGAAAGGTGTTTTTGTCTCTTATGTTTATGTTTTTTATGTTTTATGTTTTGTCCTTGTATGTTTCTTTGTAAAGCGACCTTGAGGTTATGAAAGGCGCTATATAAATTCAATTTATTATTATTATTATTATTATTACATGACGGTTATGTTTTGACCCGAGTAACATAATCAGTTATCTGAGACAGAGGGCATTTCATTTGATGTCTGTGTTTAAATTGATTTATTCTCGGAGGTTAATTCGGACATCCGCTATGATTTGTAAGAACCTTTGTCTGAAACTTGCTTCAGTTCTTTCAAAAAAAATCCTCCAATTCTCCCAAATCAGGCAAATTCTCCAATGCCTATTGTTTAGTTCTTCACATTTATCATTTGTAATGCCTTTCAATCTGGAACTTTCTGACATTTAGTGACCTTTACATTTGAATTTCTTGCAGCAGTAATGTCCTGAGTGCTAAGGCTATGGTAGAGATGTATTAGCGATGCAGACAATACTCCCTCAGCCCTGAGTTTCGGCTTGTGCCCAAAAATAGCCCAATGCAACGCCTCAGCCAAACAAAATCAATCAGCAGCTCCCTCTCCTCTCCCTCTGCCTCTCCTCAATAATTCACCTTCACTTCACCCCTCCCTCATCTCTTCTTTCAGGTCTATTGGCAGCTTTCTCTTTCCCTCTCTGGCTCCGTCTCCGCTCCTCTCTACTTTCATTTTTGCACTTCCCATATGTCATGCTCTACTTTCTCTCATTTTTGCTTAACATCCCCCACACGTTCTTTTTCTGTCATCCTGTTCTACTTTCTTCGTACTCCTCTCTCTTCCTTTCCCCAGCCGGCTGTCTTCTTAACCTATCCATTACCTTATTAAATCCCTAACAATGTTAAGTAGGTCAGTGTGGACCAAAAGTCTTTGTAGTGCCTGACAGTGGCTATGTGCACTTCACAATTAAAAATCTCATGTATAAAAAGTTCACAGCTTGCCCTTAGATGGATGGTAGGAGAGGTCATCGGGTCATTAAGGTCTAATGGATGCTTCCTCTGGGGAGCATGAATGTGTTCAGCAAACGTCATTCTACTTTGCTTTTCACAATTGTTATTTAATTATTTGTAAGTAGAAATATTATCCCTACTGTTGCAGTTTAGGAAAGGTCAGAACTGTATTTTTTTTATCACTGAGCAATATCTCGATTTTATGTTTTTAACTGAAACTTGGATTNCTTATTAAATCCCTAACAATGTTAAGTAGGTCAGTGTGGACCAAAAGTCTTTGTAGTGCCTGACAGTGGCTATATGCACTTCACAATTAAAAAATCTCATGTATAAAAAGTTCACAGCTTGCCCTTAGATGGATGGTCATCGGGTCATTAAGGTGCTTTTCACAATTGTTATTTAATTATTTGTAAGTAGAAATATTATCCCTACTGTTGCAGTTTAGGAAAGGTCAGAACTGTATTTTTTTATCACTGAGCAATATCTCGATTTTATGTTTTTAACTGAAACTTGGATTGAACAAAAATAACAGTGCAGCTGTTCTTATCGAATCAACCCCTCCCAACTCTAGTTTTATGAGTCAGGAAAGAATGCATAAGAAAGGAGGTGGAGTTGCTATTTTGTTCAATGATTCCCTTCAATGCAGGAAGACATCTTATGGGAACTTTGCTTCTTTTGAATATGTGGCCCTTCAGCTGAAATGCTCCTCCCGAGCTCTGTTCCTAAACATCTATAGACCACCCAAATACTGTGCAGCCTTTTTTGATGACTTTACTGAACTGCTGTCTATAGCTGCATCTCACTTCGGTTAAATGGATTCCTTGCGTCCCTCACTTGCGTCGTTTCCCTGCGACTAGTCCCTCCCACCAGGGAAGCATGGAGAGACGCAAGGAAACCACGAGAAGCAGGGAAATGAGTTTTAAGAGCAATGGGACGTCCTTTCCTCCGGAGCGTCACGTGAAGCGACGTCCGTTTGTGATGACGCCGCACAGCTGATCGTCTGACAGCAGCCAGATCAGTGCATGCGCTGCATCGTCCAATCAGTGAGCGATACACAGTAAGGGGGCGGGGCGAGTGTCTGAGGATTTCACCGGAGGATGGTCTGGTATCGCTCCTCGATCCTCGGTTCTCTGGCAAAAATAAGGCCACTTCCGGTGATACCGAGCCCGAGGAGCAAGGAAATGAAAAATAAGAGAGTGAGACGCACCCTATAGTGTGTATTGACTTTGACCGTCTAGTCATTGTTGGTGATTTGAACATGCATGTTGACAACCTCCCCACCTTCATGTGTACTCAGGTCTCTCTTGAAAATAANCGGAAGATTAGCATTGGACGAAGGGCGGCCGTAAACCAGGCGGCTCGAAGCCCAGGAGCTGATGCAAGGGGATAGAGGGATTTTGGGTGGAAGACAAAGACGTGACCGAAGGCCAGCTTTAGGCTCGACTGAACAAGGCCTCATAAGTTTCTGCCACTTGGGTGTGCAAATGAAGGGTGAGCAAGAGGGAAAGTGGATAAAAATACCGAAATAATGGGTACTCTTGTGTACGTTGTTTTACTGTACTTAGTCTGCATTGCAGCTTATAAGCATTTAATTAAAGAATTGGTGATATACACAGTGATAGATGTTAGAAGACTAACGTTGGGGTATAATAATAGATAGCCTTAGTCGTACGCCTGAGTAAGTATTATATCCATTTTCATAATCAATATTATATCTTCAACTTTACTTTAAAAAAGGCTTCTACTTGTAACCTATTCCTTAAACACTAGAACCGCCAGAGGTTTTTGTATAGGCCTACCTAAACCCGTCAAATCCCGCTATTAGAATGCAATTTTTAACAACATAGGGTGCTACATAACACACTTTCAGGAAAAGTCACGGACTGGGAGACTTTAATATTTTATTGAAAAAAAGTTACATTGCACACACACAACACACATCACACAAATTGACCCGATTGGCGGTTCTAGTGTTAATCACCCCTATACAAACACAGATTCAATATTTATTGCGTCAGTTTTTATCAGTTACCAAGAGGGAGGCTGTGGCTCAGTAGATAGTGTGCTGGACTTCGAATCAGGGGAGAGCAAGTTTGAGTCCCACTGCAGTCAGCATGTCGTTGTGTCCCTGAGACACTTCACCCCAAAGTGCTCCTGTGGGGATTGCCCACAGTATTGAGTATGTCAGTCGCTTTGAATTAAAGCATCTAACAAGTGACATGTCATGTAATGTTGCCTTGAAGACATCAGTAATGAATATTAAAACTGCACCAATGTCAAATGAATGTTTAGTGCCAACAATTTATTTTTGGAACTTAAGTAGCAATTGCATTTTTGCACAAAAGAAAGAGGGGTTTTTGTTCCAGACCAAAAGGAGGTAAATCTGTTTTTACGAATTGCAAGAGGAGAGGATAAAGGGAGGAGAGGAAGAAGGAGAGGAAGAAGGAGGAAGTGTTCTTGTGCAGTCTGTACTTGTAGTTAGTATTTGTCATGTCCTTGTTCGTCATACAGTACAATGGAGCTGCTCTCTATTGTTGTGAGTGTGTGGTCATTTATTTATTTCTGATTACATGGAGAGAGGAGATGGCTCTTCACTGTTTCTGAGTGCAGTGATCAGATTAGTGCTCAGTAACATGCTGCAGATTCTAATTCATCTCATTGTCTTATGTATGACATGTAGATGTCTCTTTGCTATTGACTGAACACAAGCAGCAAGTGTGAATGAAATCTAGGACTTTTAGAGATGTCTAAATGTTGGAAGTAGAGAAGCGGCCGTCTGACTCCAACATGTTTTTTGTTGGGCTGTTTGTGTCTTCCATCATTCAGACGTGTTTCCACTCAGGAGAGGAGCACTTTGAAGCCGGAGTCAACAAAGTAATAAATGGAGGAACAGATAAAGCAGGGACAGCTGGAGCAAAGTGTAGGAGGAGAATAATGATTAGAGCAGAGACAGTGTCCTGGGTGTGGAAACACTTTGGAAAAGAGCTCTTGAGTCCTAACAAAGTATTTTCATGATGGTCTAATTCAGTGAGGAGATTCAGTTATGATGAACACATCAAGGTTTGACAACTTAAAAGCGTACAGGGACGTAAAAAACCTGTTTATGTAAGTGTGATTTTAATAGAGATTTAAAAAATGTATCTGATTTGCAAGCCCACTTTCCTCAGTTCGTCATTGCAGTATGACCCACAGTGCAGGGAACATGAAAGTGAAAGTACTATCCAAATCTGGCTGTGAAAATAATTATTGTTGGAAATTCTTCGTCTTCGAGAAACTACATAATCTGCAACTATAGTTTATCAACTTTACTGATGCAGCAGTTTTAATGAGAGGAGCAGCCACGTGTCTGTTTCAGAGGTGGGCTTTACTTTGGGCTTTTGTTTAGAGGAGGCATTCTTTAAAAGGTTATTGAACGCTTGCTAATGCCGTCCGGCTGCTTGGTTAAGAGCGTAGACTGCTTGTGTTTATATTTGTCCATACTTTAGTAGTGAGAGGTTTGCAGATGTCTGGGCTACAAACTGCTCTGTGTCCGCAGTTACAGACAGTACTTGGAT